CGATCCAGCTGAGCCCCGCCGGCAAAGGGGCGTGGGAAGTCGGCCTCGCTCAGTGGGGGCAGAGGAATTCGCTGAAGGCTTAACGCATTGTGCTGTACATCGACTCGCGCTGGAGCATCCAAAATCTGCTTCAGACTCATACGGGCATTTCTGCATTTGCCTCGACCCCCTGGACCGGCATCGGCCTGCGCAGAGTTGCCTCGATCTATCCAGCCTGATCCCAAGGCGATCGGAGGAGAGTCGCCAAGCCTTCGGGGGATGATCCTGCCGATCTGTGCCGCGGTGCGCCCAGCGGCGCGCCACCGCAGACCCGGTCGAGCTGCCCAGGAGGGCAGACGACCTTCAAGATGGAAGTCTGGCCTCCTCTCCGGGGGCCTTCAGCCCTCCGGTTCTGGAGGCGGCCCTTCCCCCCAAAAGGAGGAGCCTCGAGCTCCAGAGCGGAGGCTCTCGATCCTCTGCGCCTGGGCAGCCCCGCCCTCGCCCCGTTCGATGCCCTGGTGTGTCCAACCTGCGGGCCCCCAGAGCTCTCGCCCCCTTCCCCATGGGGACGCCCCAAGAGAGCTCCAAGAGGATCCCCAAGACAGCCCCCAGAGGAAGCACGCATCGCTGACTTTCATAAGGTTGCTGAACAATTCTAACGTTCTCGCCTCCTCGTCGGGCGTCCGAACGCCCAGGACGGCCCAAGAGGCCCACAAGCTAGACGTTCCCAGGAGGGCCCTACAGTCAACCATGATAGGAAGGAAGGGGCCACTTGGCCAGGGTACCCTTGCATCCTTGCCCCTTCGGCGCATCCTTGCCAACTTTCGCTGGCCAGCCCTTCAGAGTACCCTTGCATCCTTCGGAATTCGGCCGCGCCCCGCGCGGAAAACCTCAACGTGGCGTTCCAAGGCCCCTGCATCCTTACCGCGCATCCTTCTTATCCTGGTTGACTGTAGGAGGCCCTCAAGCAGGACCCGAGAAGAGGGCGACAGAAGCGCCCCAGACGGCAACAGGCGCTCTCCAAGCACTGGCGCGAGCAGGCCGCCCCCCGCCCCCCCCCCGGCAAGTCAGGCGGGCGGGGCCCAGCGTGCACGGCGCGGTCATCGTGTTCCACACGATGTCAAGCGCGCCCAGCGGCGCGATCAGAGACTGGCCGCGGCGCGCGGTCTCTCTCTCTCTCTCTCTCTCTCTTTTGCAGGGGCGGCGTGTCTGGGCGGCGCTCCTCCTCCCGTAGTACTCCTCCTGTTCCGCCCCCAACCCCTCCTCCCCCACCCCCTCCCCTTCCAGCTCCCCCATCCCCTCCTCCTCCTCCTCCCAGTCCTCACCCTCCTCCTCCTCCTCCTCGTCGTCCTCCTCCTCCTCCTCCTCCTCCTGCTCGTCCTCCTCCACCTCCTCCACCTCCACAACCACCACCATCGCCTCCCCCTCCTCTTCCTCCTCCCTCCTCCTCCCCTCACCTCCTCCTCCTCCTCCTCCTCCTCCTCCTCCTACTCCTATTCCTCCTCCTCCTCCTCTCCCTCCTGCTCTCCCTCCCCCTCCGCCTCCCCTCCTCATTCCCATTCCCTCCTCCTCCTCCTCCACCTCCTCCTCCCTCATCTCCTTCCCCTCCTCCTCCTCCACCGCCTCCCCCGCGCTGCTAATGGCCGCTTGCACTTCGTCGCCGACCTCCTCCTCCTCCTCCTCCTCCTCCTCCTCCTCCTCCATCTCCTCCTCCTCATCTCCTTCCCCTCCTCCTCCACCGCCTCCCCCGCGCTGCTAGCGGCCGCTTGCACTTCGTCGCCGACCTCCTCTTCCTCCTCCTACTCTTCCTCCTCCTCCTCCTCCTCCTCCTCCTCCTCCTCGTTCATCCCTTTCCTTCTGAGTAACTTCTACCTGTCGCACCCCCTGACGTGTCGGTTCGGCGGGCCGGGCGTTTCGCCTCAGGCCTCCCCACTATTCGTGATCCTGAAACATGGCACTTGCAGCAATTTCAATGATGGAGGGCGGCTCTTTGTCAACATGTGGTTCTCGTCTTAGCGCCACGCGCATTCGTGTTAAACGTTTGCAGCAGCGTCAACGATGGAGGGCGGGTCCTTTTCAAAATGAGGTTCCCGCCTTAGCGCCGCGCGCATTCGTATTAAAAGTTTGCAGCAGCTTCCAGGATGGAGGGCGGGTCCTTCTCACATTGTGGCTTTCGCCGTTGCGCTACGCACATCAATCTTAAACGTTTGCATACGGTTCAAACTATTCGCATGGTAAAAATCCCAGGAATGGTGTTCAAGCGCAATTTCGTATCGCCAGGACGCAACAGTCAGGTTAACTCGCGGTGTTGAAGTTCCACCAACGACGTTTTGGCACCATTTAGGATTGCCAGGATGCAACAGGCACGTTGATTCGCGGCGTTGGAATCCCAAAAATGGCGTCTTGGCACGATTCAGGATTCTCAGACGATTACAATTGAGAGAAACAAGTTTGCACCACCTGGGCGGTGCGAGAACTGATGATACGACCCCCCCCGCCCCCGACCTTAATATTGAGAGCGGACGCGCGTGCTGGAATGGAATGTATCTTAACTTTTTGTTGAAGGGCCCCAGGAGATGTCACAACAATAAAGATTAAAGCCGGGGGCGCGGGGGAGCAGCAGTGCCATCCATCCGATCCCAGCTCAAGCCGAAGTGGTGCAAGCATGTTTTTCAACAGTATCTTCCAATCGGGCACTTCCCGCACTGACAATAAAAAATTGCAGGGACCGATGAAGAGGAAAGTTAGAGAAAAGGTTAATTGCAACATCGTTGAGGCGTCTTGGGTTCACACCTCCTCCTCCTCACTCCTCCTCCTCCTCCTCCTCCTCCTCCTCCTCCTCCTCCTCCTCCTCCCCCCAGAGGGGCCCAACCACGCCCAAAAACATGGAACCCCGAACCTCAATCCTCCACCTCGTTCTCCATCCCTATTTCTTACTGGTACAGGCCTCGGAAAAAATAGCGAACACTCATGCCACATTCATCTGTCACCGCCTCCCCCTCCCCCCAATGTTCAAAGTTGGCGATGGGTCTGATGAGTTCACCTCGACCGCAGTCTCCCCCGCGCGTGCCAACTTTGAGTTTGGGGGGCAAAGGGGGGGTGTTCACCAACTGTTTCCCTCCACCGTTCCTTCCTTTGCTTTGGCCCCGCTCTGCTTCGCCGCCCTCCGCTCGGGAGCTCCGCAGGGGGGCGAGCGAGCGAGCCACCAGAGCGGAGATTTCAGGCCTATCTTGGGCGGGCCTCTCTATGTCCAAGTTTACATTATTCACTCTCCTGTATCCCCCGCGCGTGCCAACCTTTGAGTTTGGGGGGCAAGGGCCGGGGGGGGCGTGTTCACAAATTGTTTCCCTCCACCGCAGCTCCCCCCCTCGTACCGCACGCCAAAGCTCGTCCGCAAAGGCGGGCTTGGCGTCTCGCTCCAGACTTCCTGGCTAGTTGCGGTCCCGACGCTGGGCGTTCGCGCAGCACTCTCCAGCTGTTTTCCAAAGGGGGCCCTCTCCCCCGGGGCCGCGCACGAGGTCGAGGAGGTTTTCTTCTCCACATGAGCGTCTGCTAGTCTTCACCCGCCTGTGCCCTGAGCGGCCGCCCCTTCGCGGGCATACGGGCTTGATCTTGGCCTTGGCGCCGCGCACCTTCGTCGCAAAAGCTGACGGCTTCTCCGCGGATGCCCTTTTCAAAAGGGGGGCTCTCGCGGGCGACGTCACTTAGGTGGAAAAAAGGTGCAGAAAAATCTTCAACAGATGTAGCAGCCTGCACGGCCAGAGAGCGGCTGCTTTTCGCAAGGAGTCTCTCGCGTGAGGCTTCCCTACAGTCAACCTGTATGGTAAGGATGCGCGATAAGGATGCAAGGGCCTTGGACGCCCATTTCGAAGCTTTTCGAGCGGGGCGCGGCCAGCGAAAGCGGCGAAGCATGGACCGAGGAGGCACGGGCGCCAGGGTACCCTTGGGAAGGTTGCCCATCCTTACTATGCGGGTTGACTGTAAGTTGAGAGACCAACACATTCAATCAACAACAGTGGAAGCTGCGCGGACCGAGGGCGGCTCCTTTTCGAAAGGTGGCGCTCGCGTTTGGTACTTCCTCGATGCTCATGATCAGAGGTGCAGAGACTCGTGCAACATTACACGCGTGAAGGGCGGTCCTTTCGCAAAAGGGGACCTCGCCGGCCATGTGTGACCATACCTTCTCGCATGTCTGACTAGGCACCAGAAGCGTGCAGTGCAGCTCCGCTTCAAGACCGGGTTTTCGCCCGAATGGCAGGCCCAGAGGCTGTGTTTTGTTGCAAGGGGTGTTTCTTGTTGTGAGGATGGATGGGTTGCACGGACTTCTGACGAGGGGACTTCTGACGGGAGGGTGCATTGCAGCACCGCTGATGCATCTTAGATTTACTCTGGTCCTCCTCCTCCCCCTCCTCCCAGCCTCCCTCATTTTCTCCCCCCTTTAGCCTCTATCCCTTCTCCTCCTCCTCCTCCTGCCTCCCTCCTGCCTCCCTCCTCCCCTCTCTCCTCCCCTCCCCTCATCTCTCTTCCTCCTACTCCTCACTCCCTCCCTCTTCCCTCCCTCCTCGCTCCTCACTCCCTCCCTCTTCCCTCCCACCTCGTCCCGCCTCGCCTCGTCCTCATCCTCGTCCTCGTCCTCGTCCCCATCCTCCTCCTCATCCTCTCCTCCTCATCTCCTCCTCCTCCTCCTCTTCCTCCTCCTCCTTCCTCTGTCGTCCTTCTCGGCGACGCCACCGACGACGATGCCGACGCCCGCCGACGCCGACGCCGACACCGACGCCGACACCGACGACGACGCACACGGCGACGACGAGACGACGCCGGCGAGCCCGCTCCCGAGGGCCGGGAAAGCCGCGGGGGCAACCGCAGCCGCCCTCCCCCGGGTGCTCTCCAGAACGCAGCCCGCCGGCCTCCCGGACGCAGCGCCGCCGCCGCCGCCGCGGCGCCGGGGCCTGGGGAGCGAAGGCGTAGGACGCCATGTCTATCAGGGGGCCGACGGCCGTGTTGAGGGCCAGGGCGGCGGCCTCGGCGGGCCCCCGCGGCCGAGCGCCGCGCGCGGGCCGGAGGGCCGCACCGCCTCGCCGGGACGGTGTTTCTCGTTTGCGTTTTGCTTTCGGTTCCCTTCGTGTTGTCTTCAATCCGCCTTGACCGCAAAGCGAAGTCGAAACGAAAACGGCCCACGAAGTCGCAAAAAACACCTTTTGGGTCCAGCCCTGCTATACGACACCTGCACCCACCCTGGCTGGGCCGATCCTGGGCCCAAGACCGGTGCGTACGCCGCCCGGGCTTGGGCAGGAGGGCGCACGCACCGATCCTGGGCCCAGGATCGGCCTGGTCAGGATCGGCGCAAGTGCCGTCGTTGCCGCCCTCCCGAGGACGGGGAGCATCGGGCTCCAGATCGAGCCGCATCACTGACGCATCGGCGAGGGACCGCCTGAAGGCAGGCCGAACGTGGGCCCTGACTGGCCACGGGCCCACGAGCGCCAGAGGGGGCCGTGAGCCTGTGAGCAGGGACGAGCGAGGCGGACCCCCACCAGCGAACACCTGCTGATCCGAATTGATGGGCACGGGGAGGGCAACTACATCATCGCGCTACCGTGAGGAACGCTAAGTCAGACACGGAGGGTTTTCCCTGGCCACGGCGAGCCTCAGCCACGACTGGGTCTCCCGACCTAGATCCAAGGATTTGCATGCCACCATTGACCCCGACCTCCGATGGAGTAAGTTCTTCAATCCGCGCGTCCCAAAGATCTATCGAGCCCGTCCCTCTGACAGGGTAGCTCTTCATTCTGGATCCATTTCTGACAATCCTGGAGCTCGGAGACAACTTCCAGACACAAAAGCTGTAAAAGTCGGTGTGCTGCTTTCTCGAGGCGCTGAAGCTCCAGGATTTCGCCACTGGTTGGAGCGATCCTACGACCATATCTGCTCCAACCCCATGTCGATGCCCTGGACCCAGACATCCGACGATGCGTCGTTTCACTCCGCAGTTTTGCCGTCCCAGATTTTTTGTTCGATGGCGGGGCCCACAAGGGGCTCCTGGAGGCCGAGTTTGAAGAAGTAAGCCAGGGTTGAAACAATCAGTCCGCTGCATGCCTGGCCTGGGGGCGGGTGCACCTTGCGACGGGTTAGCGCATCATGGCCTGAGGGATGTGCGCGGACGAGAGGGGGGGACAATGAAACACGTTGAACGAAGAAGACGAGCCACGAAACCTGGAAGATAACAGGGCCACTGCCATGATATACACACGCAGTCCTTTTAAGGGGGTGGGGAGTCGCCAAAAAGACCCCCTTCTGAGTATCGTTCAACCGATCCCCATCCCCAGCGGCGTGGCCTGGGCCCCACTGGCCGATTTACCCCCCTAGATGGGGATATTGGTCGTTCCCTTCGGGTTTCGAGGGGTGCATCCCCAACTGGGGTGCTAATTTGGTGGGGGTCTCGAAGGGGATGGGGATGGGGATGGGGATGGGGATCGTTTAAAGGATACTCACCTTCCGCCGCAGAGGGGGGAGGTGCCACCCCATTTCGGCCCTCGGTCGGCGGCGCGCCGACGGTGGAAGTGAGAGGGGGCAGGCCTCTTCAGAGGGGGGGCGGGGCTTCGGAGACGCCCCCCCAGCCTTCGGAACCTCCGTGGCTTCGGAGAAGGCTCCCAATGGCGAGCGAACAACACGCACCCATACCCATAGGAGGGTCGGAGGGGGATATGGCTGCGCGTTGTCGGATGGGGTCCCCCGCTCGAAAGGAAGCGCCCCCCAGGATCCGACAACTCGCACCCATACCCATAGCCAATTCGCCTCCCAACGTTCCCCCATGGGTATAGGTGTGTGTTGTTCGCTCATCACCTAAAGCTTCCCAGAAAGCCGGAGGCCTTATGAGCCTCCTGAGAATATCCGCCCCCTCTGCCTTCCCCCACTGGGCGCGCCGCCGACTTTGAGTAGTCCTCCCCCCCCTCTGCGTCCGCTTCTCCGCGTCGCAGTCCTGTTGCGTACCACTTGACCTCCGTAGTCGAATTTCCGTGCGCACGCAGTATCTCTTTGCAGCGCTTCCCTGTATGTTCCAAAGAGTTGCCAACTGAGCACTCTTCGGTCCACGCGCCACTCTGGATGCTCGGCTGGCAAGATCAGCCAGCATCGAATCGAGAAATCGGATCGAATCGGAATGTAAGTCGGATCGGGCCGCATCGGCACTCAGTCAGAGTCAAATCGGATCGGCCGTGCCGAGGCGCACAGCAGGGCCATGCAGGCGTCGGGCCGAGTAGGATCGAACGCACGTCGGAATCGAATCGGATCAGGCTGGCCAGAATCGGTATCGACTCGAAGCAATCGGATCGAAATGGTCTTCTCGTCTCGTCCACGGGCCTTGGGACGCCGACGAGGGGGGGGGTCCGAGAGAAGGGCGTCCGAGAGGGCGCTTAGCAAAACATGGCCCGAGGCGCGTGCGCGGCCGAGGGGGCGGGGCGACGGGGCGTGTTGAAAGAGGAAGGGGGCCATGAGCTCTGGGAGACTTTATGGCCCCAGCCATGCCATGATGACACGCCCCCCTCGTCGTCACCTCCTTTTGCGGCTGTCCCCGAGATGCCCACCCGCCCCCGAAGAAACGCCTGGGACAGAAGGCGCAAAAAGTCCCCTGGGCTGGGCCGTTCGGAGGACAAAGGCCAGGCGAGACAGCGGCAGACCTCCCATCGCCCTTTTCGGGGGGCCTCCTGGGGACTTCTCCTGGCTTCTCGTCACCACGGCTGGATCCGCCTCGGGAAACGGGTCAGGATGGAGCCCGGGAGGGGTCCGGGAGCAGATTTTGAGCGGACCTGGGCCGGGCTGCAGGCAACCTTTGCCTGAACTGACGCTCCCCCGAACGGTGGGCCACAAAAGGGGCGGATGGGCCAGGGAGGGAGCATCGCGCTTGTACGGCAATTTCGCGTCGTGGCGTCGGCGCTGGTTTTTGATACCGCGTGGACGGCTGACGCCCAGGATTGTGGTTCCTCGGCTTGACCTCCGCTCCGTACACATGCACGTGCTGTGCACGTGCATGTGTACGGAGCGGAGCACGTCCTCGCTGTGCACGTGCTGCAGCACACATGTTCAAGAACTTCACGCTCTGAACGCGCTCCTCCATCCTTCCGCGCGCTTCTTCTCCTCCTTCACCTGCTGTGCCCAATTCGGCCCCGTTGCACCCCACGGCTGCTTCAGAACGCGAGGGGGACTCTCGCCGCTGCGACAACAAAAAAAGGATCGCTCAACGTTGAGCGATCGCGGCTTTCTGATGGATAGCTCGCATCGCTCGGTGTCGGCCGACTCTTGTCCACTGGCGGCGTTCAACCTTGAACGCCCACGCTGGGGTCGCCGTCGCGTCGACTACAAAACGAACCTGCCGCATCCCGGGGCTTCCGTTGCGCAGCTGCTCGACGCCGTTCGAAAACGAGCACGGGCCGATCGGAAGAAGATGGCAGAACCATCAGACACGAAGGCGGGGGAGGTGGCGGGAGTCCCCATCGCTCGTCAAAGCACGAAGGCGCTCCGACAAAATACGTAGCACCCCGCAATTGCGGATAAGAGTGAGGGGGCGGGCGCGGGCGATGCGGGCGTCGAGCTGGCGGACCTCGTGGCCCTCACCTTCCCTGTCGATGGAGCCTTCCTCCTCCTCCCCCTCCCCCTCCTCCTCCTCCTCCTCCTCCTCCTCCTCCTCCTTTTCCTCGTCCGCGTTTTCGTCCTCATCGTCGTCGTCGTCGTCGTCCGCCTCCTCCTCATCCACTTCCTCCTCCTCTTCCTCCTTTTCCTCCTCCTCCTCCCCCCCTCCTCCGCAGGCGCCGATGTGCTGGTCAGCCCCGACTCCATACTTATTGGGACCAAACCGGATATTCCAAAACATCAAAAACAGGAGGTGGCCCCAAGGGGGCCTGGCCCCGCGTCCCGCGGGGGCGCCCAGAGGGTTATAATATCTATAAACAGCCGTCACAAGACGTCTCAAACACGCAAAAAAAATCCCGCGGTCGAACTTCCTCTTTTACGACGTGGCCCAAGTTTCGAGCCCTGCGTGCGCAACGCGCGACGCAGGTGGCGAATCCGTCACGCACGCTGCGCCATGGGGCGCTTCGAACCAATCCAGTGAAAAAAGAGAACGCGGTGGGACGAACGGTTTCACGATGGGGAAACCGTAGCCAAAGAATGCGCTGGAGGCGACGCCAGCGCCGCGCGGCTATCATTCAGACAAGGCGAGCAGGCGCCAGCGTGGCCCGCAGTGAACGTTGTCGACGTCGTCGCGCCCTCCTCTCCTCAGGTCACTAAGCATCGGGAACGTCCTTCAAGACTTGCCAGTCTCGGGCCTGGGAGTTCTCTGTTTTGCTTACCTGGAAATCGCAGAGAGAGAGAGAGAGAGAGAGAGAGAGAGAGCTGGGACAGAGCTGGCCGCCGAGGGCAAGCGTGCGAGCCCCGCTCTTCGTCCTCTTTCTGTTTTTCCTGCTCCTCCTCCTCCTCCTCCTCCTACTCCTCCTCTCCATTACCCTCCCTCCTTCTCCCCCTCACCCTCCCCGTCCTTCCTCCCCAGCCTCCTCCTTCTCCTCCCCCCCCTCCCTCCTCAAGAAACCGTGGGGATGACAGGATAACCGCGTCGCCATCGCGCGTCTCGTGGCCCTAGCGTGGCCGAAACGTGCGATGGTGGGGCGTGGCGCCTCTCAGGTATCTCATTTACGACGTTGTGCTGTCGCCAGGCGAGCTGGCCCTCGCCGGCGCGTAAGGACAGCGTCAGCGAATCGGCGAGTTATCTTAATCTTGGGCCAGTCTTGGGAGCTCGTACTCAGACGCATTCAGGGCGCCCTGGGGAGGCCCGCGGGGCGGATCGGCAATCGAGGGCAACGCAAAAGGGGGGCATCGGCACGCCTGGCGCAAGCCACTGCGCGGTGGATTCCTCGCGGGCCTTCAGAGGCGCGGTGGGGCCCTCAGACCGTTGTTCTGGCTGGGCTGTTCCAGGGCCTTCGCGGGCTGTTCTGGGGCCTTCGCGGATGCATCTAAAGGTCAAAGGGCTAAAGGC